TTCTGCATCACTCATCATTGGCTGAGATAACCAGACACTCGTAACTCTACTGGAGTTCGGACCTCATGTTGTTTCAAATTTAAATTGGACCAGTTACAATTAATCATATCAAGCAAGGCATGCATTCATTCATTCATTTGTTCGATGGTGAAAGAGGGAAGGTGGTATTCAACAAACGGCATAACTTCATATTGTGTCGATATGACTTTGGATTTTTAATCACACTACATGAGGTAAGACAACAAAAACAACAGAAAACTTGCAGTTTACAGAAATGCCTATAAATATCAGGTTTTCCAATAGACACACAAATTTACGAGTATAACCAATCTGACCTATGGCTTTGACTACGACTATGCCTCATATACCTTGGCAATCGAAATCGAAATTAACTGTGAATGCTGGGCAATTCAAATCCCAAATTGTACTTTTTCCTCAATTGCGATTTTTTTCCTTCTTCAACTCATTTTCCAATTTTTTCTTTAGAAAGGTAGAAAAAAGAGGAACTGCATCCATCTTTTTTTTTGAATCAGCTGAAAAACATACATCCAACATAAGTTTGGTTTGTTTGGCCCATTCACTGACTTGGGTATCTGAAATTCTATTGATTGGCACAACAGATGGAAATGATACTTTTCAAAAGGTATGTACATGTATGTGGAACAAACATCTAGTTCAATAGAAGTACTTTCCATGGATAATAGTATACACTGAGAAAAATTGGGTCGACCGGGTATTGTTTGAATGAAAATTTGCGGAAAAAGCCAAGAAAATAATGGATCAGCGAGGGCTTGTTGTTGTCTTACCTCTGCTTACAACTAAATTGATAAATACTTATGTACTTTTTTTCTCTGAGTGTATTGAAATGCTATTGACTTCAATGCCAGTCCAATGACTGAAAACTGTTACCATACTACGAATCTACGATTGTTTGTATGTCTGTACGTATGTATTGCAAACATACAATAGATGACAACTTACCTTATGAAAGCAATGATCAATTGAGACATTCTTCTATTTATTGTTTTCACAAAACAACAACAACAAACAATGTACTTTCAATATGCTGTTATTGTTGCTATTTTTACAACAATACAAATGAAAGAGAAAATAGTGCATATTTTCATTTTAATTTGCTGTGTATTTCAGTGGCAGTTGGAAGTATTTCAAGGAGAAAACAATATATTGTGTACCCACTAATTACTGTCATTTTTAAAGGGACACTTTAATGAAATTATATCGGGCGCCAGCGAGAGCTTCATTCAAAATGTTATATGAGTTCGCTTCATAAATAAACAAAACAAATTGTGGAGAGCTCGCATTGTCATGCACAATGCCAGACAACACCCTCGTATATCCTTCATCTAGAGATCCTGATCAATTTATTGTAGTCCGAAGGACTTGGTCGACTTGGTCCAATCGAAATCGTTGCAATTAAGTATTTTAGGTTTTTGGGTATAACAGAATTTCTTGCAGGAAATTTTCATATGCTCCTGATCGATATTGGGTAGTTTAAAATTTAATTTAGCTACAATATTCAAATAAGAGTATGTCTTGACAAAAGCCCCATCTGATTTTCAGTATTTATACCATACTCAACTATATTGTCAGGGTATTATAGCTTTGTCCAGCCCCAAAAGTTTGTAACGCCGCGAAATATTGGTCCTAGACCCACCTTTAAGTATACCGATCGTCATATCTCGACTAGCTGAGTCGATCTAGACATGTGTGTCCGTCCGTCTGTCCATTATAATTTGTAAACACGATACAGGCCACAGTTATGGACCAATCTTCACGAAATTTTGCATGTAGGTTGGGTTCGGTCCATTGAAGACCCCTATTGTTTTTGGTAAAGATAGGTTAATATTTAGCGGATGAAATGGATAAAATACTAAATTTTTGTCGGTTTTTCTGGTCGCTCCAGAGGCCGCAGTTATGGTCCGAACATCGTGAAATTTTCCATGGAGAAGGGGATCGGGCCTAAGAATAAGCATGCCTGTTTTGATAAAGATCGGTCAATATTTAGCGGGTCAAATGGACCTTGACTTTTGTGTGAAAAATTACAAAATTTTTATTCTGGGGTGTATATACTTGCTCCTGAAGGACATATACCCGAGAAGATTATAGTATATCCAAGAGGTGTTGTTGACCTTCAAATTGATACCAATTATATGGCTGTATGTACGCTGATGTGGGAGTTATACGTAATTAGGTAAAGGTGACTATGTGCATAATATTACTATTACTCCATTAGAGGACGGAAATGTCGCGCTTATCGCTTTGAAATTATACATGAATTTCCGATTATGGTAAAGGACGACGCCTATAGTTTTCGGTGAAGTTGAGATTTCATTCATTGCGTGCAAAGAACCGAAAACTTTAATTTTGTCAGATTTTCTAGTCGCTCTAGAGGCAATTATTATATGCAGAACATCACATATTTGACAAGGTGAAGGGGATCTGACCAAATACTTAGAGCGGCTGTTTAGATGATCGGTCAATTTTCCGAGGATCAAATCAACCAAAACCTAAAGTGACCAATTTTTTATTTTATGGCGTAAAAATTCACTTCAAGAAAAAACATTTTGGAAAATATGCAAGACTTAGAAAGTGGAGTTGTTGATCTATAATCGGTAAAAAGGGTGCAAATATCACGAAATGTTGCCCAGGCTCAGAATATAGAACCGCCGAAAGTTTGATTTTCGTGGTAGTTGTTTAGGGTATTATATGGTCGGCCCCGTCCGACCATACTGCTTCGCTCACTGGTTTTAAGTCACGTTTTCTAATCGAAGTTGCTTGAATATTGATTTTCTGGTTTTTGCAGACTAAAAGTGCCCTTCGCAGGAAATGTTTAATGTAGGTTCACGATTTTCGGTATTTTCATGTCGATGAGGCTACAATATGGCATTACCTTTTCAAAAGAATAACGACTTCCGAACGGAATATATTCAATGCTGTTTATCACTATTGGTATTATTAGGGTCATATTCGCAAATTGCATCAATAGTGATGGTCACTAAGTAGTTTAGCTTGTAATACCTCCGATTTTACAAAGGATAGAGTGGACCCTAAAAGTAAACTTTAAAAAAAAATGTGCCTATATAGTCCTTGAAATGTTTTTCTTTACAAAATCTACACCTAGATAGTCTTTAGACTTTTTTCTTCAAAAAATATAAATCTACGCCCGAATAGTCTTTGATTATACCCTTCACCACACTGTGGTACAGGGTATTATGTCTTTGTGCATATGTTTGTAACAGGCAAAAGGAAACGAGATAGACACATGGTTCCTTTTGAGAATATGCTTAGAATCGCTTTCTGAGTCCGTCTGTCCGTCCGTTTGTCCGTCCATGTATTTTTGTGAACAAAGTACAGGTCGCATTTATGATCCGATTGGGATGAAATTTGGCATAGTTCACTTATTTGACCCAAGGACGAACCCTATTGAAATTGGGAATAATCGGTTCAGATATAGATATAGCTCCCTTTCCTTTTGAGAATACGCTTAGAATCGCTTTCTGAGTCCGTCTGTCCGTCCGTTCGTCCGTCCATGTATTTTTGTGAAGATAGTATAGATCACATTTATGATCCGATTGGGATGAAATTTGGCATAGTTCACTTATTTGGCCCAAGGACGAACCCTATTGAAATTGGGAATAATCGGTTCAGATATAGATATAGCTCCCATATATTTTCGTCCGATTTAAGGTAAATGGTGCAGCAAAGTCCCTAAATACCTTTCGATTTGCACGAAATTTGGCACAGCGTACTGAATTGAGCCTAGAATGATGTGTGCTAAGTTTCCTGAAAATCGGGTCAGATTTAGATATAGCTCACATATATTTTTTCGTTCGATATAAGGTATATGGTGCACCAAAGACCCTATGTATTCTTCGATTTGGCATAGCGTACTGAATTGAGTCTAGAATGATGTGTACTAAGTTTCGTGAAAGTCGGTTCATACTGAGATATAGCTCCCATATATATTTTCGTCCGATTTAAGAAAATGGTGCACCAAAGTCCGTATTTATCTTTCGATGTTGCACAGCGTACTAAATTAAGGGTAGAATGATGTGTGCTAAGTTTCGTGAAAATCGGTTTAGATTTAGATATATATATATATCTCCCATATATATTTTCGTCCGATTTAATCTAAATGGTGCACCAAAGACCCTATATATTTTTCGATTTGCACGAAATTTGTCATAGCGTACTGAATTGAGTCTAGAATGATGAGTGCTATGTTTCGTAAAGATCTGCTCAGATTTGGATATATCTCCCATATATATTTTCGTGCGATTTTACATAAATGGTGCATCAAACTCCTACTAGGTTTTCTTTGCAAAATCTACACCTAGATAGTCTATAGATATACTTTGAAATTTTTTTCTTAAAAAAGCTACGCCTTGATAGTCTATGAAATGCTTTTCTTTAAAAAATGTACACTTAGAATAACTTTGAAATTTTGTTCTTAAAAAAAAATTACGGCCGGAGAACCTTTGATTTTTTTTTAAATCTAAAATCAATGAAACTTTTTCTTAAAAAAACTACACCTAGAAAAAAATCTATGCCTTAAAAAATTCTTAAAACAAAATCTACACCTTAGAATGGTCCTTAAAATATTCTGAAAAAGATACACACTTTACAATGATCCTCAAAAAATATCTGCACCTCAGAACGCTCCTTTACAAATAATCTTTAAAGAAGATTTAATTCTTAAATTAAATTAATTTAATTTTTTTATTTTATGTTTTACTCAGAAGAAGAAGTAAAAAACTACTTTTCCTCCTCCCAGCTATCTTCCATATAAAAGTCAAAATAATTATTTAACATTTGATATGACAGTTGTTTTAAAACACCCGAACATTTTCCCAACTATTATTCCACACGAAATGTGGAAATAGAAGATGATAATAAGTTTTTGTTTTTGCTTTTCTTTTAAGAAACAGAAACAAGCAATATAAAGAAATAGAAAAAAAGGAATAGAACTTGGTACTTACATCCATGTTGGTACACCCTGCAGACCATGAACTGTGCTCACATTTGCCGCAATACCGGCCACGATGATTATAAATGTCGTCGTAATCCACAATGAAAAATGTTTCCTTTTAAGAAATTCCATTTTTTAAACTTTTCTATTTCAGCAATTGTACTCCACGAGAATTGGTATTCTTGTTTTTTTTTTATTTTTGCAAGACAAGGCTGCTGTTGCCGTTTCGGTGTACAATGAAAAATGTCACCGTCGACGTCGATGCCTTACAAAAGGGAACTGGGGCTGGGTTTGGAAAAAAGTGAATGTGGCGACGAGTCTTAAGTAATTTTTAAGTATGGCAATTTTTTTCGTTCGTTCCCTTGGTTTGTTTGGCAATTTTTTGGCAATACAACGAAAATTGTGAAAACAAAGACTTGTGATGTATTTTCCAGAGAGAGTGAGAGAATGAAAATAGCTTGTTTCCACTTTTTGTCAAAACCCGGCGAAAAAATAAAACCTCGTTTAGTTACGTTTGCCAAAACCGAAAAAATAAATAACCGAAATTGTTTGCACTTTTTCAAGATTTGTTTGACGCGGCAAACAAAGAAAATAAACAATTGTTTCTGGTTTGGAGGAGTGTGTAATCCCCTTAGCCAAACTTCGTTTTAGATATCCGTTTCGATTTTGACCACAATCACATATTATTATTATTTCCGTTTCATTTCAAATATAAATTTCTTGTTGTTGACTTCTTCTTTTATTTTCTTTTCATTTCACTTTTTTTTGCTTTGAGATCATAAAATATTATTAATCACTTTTGTACGCTTTATTATGACGCATACGATGACAACACAACGGACTATTAGCAGGATACCAATTGTTGGTAGTTGTACCAGTGGATGTGTGTGTGTGTATAGTTACTATTATTACCAAAGTAAATAAATAAAAAATGATTGGTTATTATTTACTCGGTCGGTTGTCTGTGTGGTTGTGTGTGCCCTGTCATCATTTGAAATAATTTTTCATTTTTATATTTTATTTTATGTCTTCCTTTATCTGTTCTGTTTCACGTTCTTGGACTTTTTTTTTTGTTACTTCGTTTTACGTTTATTATTTAATGGACGCGACCGTTTCCTGTTTTGCTTACTAATGAGATTCCGGACACTTGTTTGCTTATACTGGAGACATTTGAGTAATGGGAAATAGTCCAGTAAGTAATTCCAAGTGTCAGTTGTGGTATTATGGAATTTTGATTCAAGTCACTGAATAACTGGCATTCATCTGAAAAGAGAGAGAGAAGACGTTTTACAATTAATAATAGTTGAGGGCAGATTTTTGTGTGAGGAGGAAAAGTAAATCCTTGAGAAAGGTCTTATAAAAATAAAACAGTTATATTTAAAGGAAATAAAAGAAATTCTAAAGTCCATGTTTGATTGATTTGATCCTTAAAAAATATTATTTAAAAATTCAAGCCTCAAAAAGTCCCTGAAATATTCTTTAAAAAATTTATGCCTCAAAAATTTTCTGAAAAATATTCTTTAAAAAATGTATGCCTCAAAAAGTTTCTGAAAAATATTCTTTAAAAAATTTATGCCTCAAAAAGTTTCTGAAAAATATTCCTTAAAAAATTCAGACCTCAAAAAGTCCCTGAAATACTCCTTAAAAAATCCACGCCTTAAGCAGTCCCTAAAAAATATTCTTTTAAAAATCCACGCCTTAAGAAGTCCCTAAAAAATATTCTTTTAAAAATCCACGCCTTAAGAAGTCCCTAAAAAATAATCTTTTAAAAATCCACGCCTTAAGAAGTCCCTAAAAAAATATTCTTTTAAAAATCCGCGCCTGAGGAAGTCCCTAAAAATATTCTTTTAAAAATCCACGCCTTAAGAAGTCCCTAAAAATATTCTTTTAAAAATCCACGCCTTAAGAAGTCCCTAAAAAATATTCTTTTAAAAATCCACGCCTTCGAATGGTCCCGAAAAAACTATTCATTAAAAATCCACGCCTTCGAATGGTCCCGAAAAAACTATTCATTAAAAAATTTACGCCTTCGAATGGTTCCGGAAAAACTATTCATTAAAAAATCCACGCCTTCGAATGGTCCCGGAAAAACTATTCATTAAAAAAATCCACGCCATCGAATGGTCCCGGAAAAACTATTCACTAAAAAATCCTCGCCTTAGATAGTCCTTAAAATACTCTTTAAAAACTTAACGCCTTAAATAGTCCTTAAAAAAATATTCTTTACAAAATCCACGCCTCACGGAGTCCTTGAAAAAATATTGTTAAAAAAATCCACGCCTCACGGAGTCCTTGAAAAAATATTGTTAAAAAAATCCCGTGAACAAATATTGTTGGGTCTCACGGAAAAAATCCTCCTTTGAAAATATATTTTTTATTCTTTAAAAAATCCACGCCTTTGAAAATCCTTGAACAAATATTGTTGGGTCCTTGAAAATATATTCTTTAAAAAATTCACGCTTTAGAGAGTCCTTAAACACACATTTTTAAAAAAACAAGTTTTTTATTTTACTTGAAAAAATATTTTATTTTATTTTAAAAATCTAGCCTGTGAATATTTTTGAAAAACAATTCTTAAAAAAATCTATTATCTGTCACATTTATCACTCCATATCCCCAAGAGGCACATAAAACGATCTCATATTTTTCCACTCAATTTTAACCCCTTCCCTTCGGCTCTTGAATAGCCCGATCACTTTGAGATATCACAATGACATTTTGATGAAATGTCATTCAAAGTTATCTAATGACACATTACTTCGATCAGGCCTGATATATGGTATTCCCATTGCGCCCACACACACACACTCCTGAAATTCTACATTTGTCTGTCAACAATAAATATTGAAATTTACAACACTCTATTTTTTGTTGGTGCTTCTCCTGGTGATGTGGCGGATGATGTCTTCATTATTTACAATATTTTTATTTTTCGAATAATATTTCGTTTTGTGTTAACCTTACGCCCTCCCCTTTTTGCTTTCGATTCTTGTCTCGAATGCCGGGTCATTAAGATAGCACTGTCGAAAAGAAACGAACACACCACATCTTAAAGTCAAGTACTTGTAAATGTGTGGTAAAAGTCAAAGATCACTAAAAGGAAAATCGATGCAGCAATGGCCAGTCATTTAAATGGATGGACCAGCGTTTCAAAAAAAGTGCGCGCCAGCTCAGGCACTCTTTGTGTGTGTCTAGAATGAAATATGAAACAATGTTTACAAAGTAGAAATGTTTTTTGTTTCTCTAAAACGACTAAATAGTTTATATAAATTTATTAACTATAAAATAATCCAGTCAAAGAAACCAAAGAGGGCTGCTATGGCTAGAGGTATATGAGCGGTTCTAGGGAATGAAACGAAGGCGAGACATAAACAACATAAAAATTGACAAATTTAAACACTTGTAAATCTTGGCTGTTGGTTTTGTACTTCGGAAAAGAAAAACCAAAAGATGCCGACATTTCGGGAAAGAAATCACTGAAATGAAAAATAATTTTTCATTTGATAATAAATAACTGCAGACATTTTCTTTCCTAATGATGGAGTTTTGTTTTTTTTTTCATTTACTGGAATTGATTTATGACAAAGGAAATGTAACCAAGACAAAGGAGATAAGATGTTTTGAGTGAAGGAATATTAAGAGGAGAATATGGAGAATTTTAATATTGAAGCAATAACGCAGTACATTCGTTTAAAATTTGATTTAAAATTTTCAAAAAAAAAAAAAAAAATAAATAAATAAATAAATAATAATAATAATTTAAGTTTCAGAAACGATGTTAATGCGAAAAATATTTATTAAAATTTTTGGATTTCTAAAAACGTTTTTATACAGTCCTTGAAAAAAATTTAAACCAAAGGAAAATATTTAAGTTAGACGGGCCGACTGTATGGCCTTCCACTTTGGGTATATAACTCAGAAATAGAGTTGCTTCTTACAATGACAAAATTATGTAATTTAAGGCGACCCCCCACCATTCTAGGGGTCAATTTTTTTGTTTTAATTCGAATCTGCGCTAATTCAAGAATGTCCCTACAAAATTTCAAGTGAAAATCTCAAGAACTCTTGAAAATATAGCCGATTTATTGTGTCAGCATCAAGTGACGGCTAAAGGGCTTCTCAAACTTTAAACGCGTTTTTCTCTTTTGCGAATGGCGGGCACGATAACTCAAAAACTAATAACCCAATCGATTCCAAATTTTTACACATTTCTCTGTGAATGTATAGCTATCGTATGAACTAGGATAAAGACAATCGGTGAAGATCTTCCTTATTTTTTAACTTGGTTTTTGGTAAAAAATCGGCGATTTTCCAAAAATATTTTTTCAAAGGTCCGCCATTTTTTTAATTTTAGAGCGAATTCAAGTTCATATGAGAGCCAAACATCTACTCTTTCTAACACCGTTGGAATTTTCGGATTCCGATGTTCCAGTGAGAAGTTATCATGCCTGCCAAGAAAAATAAGGACTTTTCTTTAATTACAAAAAACAACAACAAAGCAATAACAAAAATGTTTTGTAAATTATTTTTCTTCTCTTTTAAATCTACAAATATATATGTGCAAAGTTAAAAACCTTAACAAGGATTGGTATCGATTTACCAGCCCATAGAAAATCTTGAAGAATTAAAATCGAGAATGGGTGGGGTTTCCTTAAAGCAAATGTCAATGAACCGATTTCCACAAATCTTTTCATATGATAGGTTATATTAACTTCAGTACGTTGTGCAAAATTTTATGCCAATCGGTCTAACTTTGGGTATTTTGTGCACATTTTACTTAAAATCGGACGAAACTATATATAGGAGCTATATCTAAATCTGAACCGATTTCAACAAAACTTGTAACACGTTCTGTTATAGTATCTTCAGTAAGTTGTGCAAAATTTTGAGCCAATCGGACCCACCTGGGGAGTTTGGTGCAGAATTTATTTTATCAATTTTGTGTAAAATCGAACGAAAATATGTATGTAGAAGCTATATCTAAATGTGAATCGATTTCAATGAGACTTACCAGAGATTATTTTTTATTAACTACAGTTCATTACAAAAAATTATGTGGCAAACGGACAAACTGTGGGTCTTTAGTGCACAATTTACATAAAGTCGGAAAAAAGCTATGTGTTCATCTAAATCAAAACTTAGCACGCATCATTCT